CTAATATCAACGGTAAGAAATTGTTTGCATCACCTGCGTGGCCCTTTTCAAACAATGGTTTAAAAGTGTTAACAAATTTTTTACCTTATTTTTTCAACGATCCGTCTTTATATAAATGTACATCAGTTTCTGTTTGAACGAAACGCCCGGTTATACTCGTGCGGGTTAGATAACGTTCGTTTCTGGAGTATCTAAATCATGCAGGAGAAATAGAAGTAGGGAGTGAACTGTATAAATAAATAAAATGAATTTAGGAATATATAATAATCACTTGTATTAAAAATATATACCAAAATATTATATACATAAATGTTGTCAGATGGGGATACTTAATACAAATGCAACAAAAGAACAAACAATAAGATTAAAAATAAGACAAAACTATATGATTATTAAGTACTTATCGACACCGATGATGATGAATCGTTGATGTAAGTGGAAGGTGAATGAAGTCGTTGGTATGACAATTGACCAGGTAAAAATGTATTTTGGCGAACAGTACTTCAAATGTATGAATGAAATTCACGATGAGCATATCGCCAGGGCAATATACAATAACGCACAAAGGTGCGACAATCGCAAGGCGATTTATCATCGTTTTTAAACAACTACGTGCTCGAAAACACCGCAAAAATATCTAATAGGACGAGTTATGATTTAAATGAAACATAACTCATAAATCATGATTTATGAATGAGACAAGTTAAAATTCACAAAAAGGGGCCGACAATAACGTCCTCTTGTAATGCTTATTCAACAATTTCGATTAGATTTTTTTTGTTACGCGTGCAAATCCGATTCGGAGTAAACACTGGGTTTTTTCAAAAACAGTAAATCCACAAGACCCAAAGTCAGTGACAATTTTTTCTTTTACACATTGGTTAGATACGATTACATATATGTGATTGTATCCCACATTATTATTATAACGCTCACTAGGCTTATATCGTTGATACGTGTCAGTATTTCCGGAACACTTTCAAAAGTTTAGTTGAAAAAGTTAATTTTTTGTGAAAAAGTTGTCATTTTAAAACCCCCCCTTTGGGCAGGTCTAGGGTTAAATTTATAAAAAAAAATATACCAAATGATAGGTAAAGACATCAAGCATCTATATAAAAAAAAATTATATTGATTTGTTCATTTTTAAAAAAAGATGTGGCAGTTTTAAGAAAAGAATGTTTAAAAAATGACGAAATTACCCATATCTAAATTTTTAATTTATTTCAGAAATTTCTCCTATTTACGGGGAATGAAAGAAATTTTTTAAATTTCCGAAGGTAATGTCTTCGACTAGATACAATTTGTAATCTTTTGACGAATCGTTGAAAATTATCGGTTCGATGAAAGCTGAGAAAAAGTGGTTACAGATACAAAAAAAAAACACATCATAGTAAAATTAATATCTTCTGCAGATTTGCATCGAAGCTAAAAGAAAGATTTAAAAAAAAACTTAAAATTTATTTATAATCGTACAATAATATAAGGAATTATTTTATTTTTTATTACCAAACTAGACTCTAACAAAGACCTACAAGCCTTACGCGACTACTGTACTCTACTACTAGTACTCGGCCCTGTTGGTAGATCACAGATTTTGATTAGAGTACTCAGATATGCCAAGCACGATAAGTTTTTACACAAAAAGTAATACTTCAAAGTCAGTATAAATAAATATGGTGAACATTTAATTATTAATATGAGAATAATTAAATAAGGGCCAATAGTAAAATATAATAACTATAAGGTTGATAATATCATTAAATATTATTTAGTATCCAGCTCATAACAATAAAATAATAATAATTCAATTTTAACACTATCATTGGTATCAGCAATATTAAAAAAAACACAGCACAGTGGGGTCGCGGCATAGTGGAGACGTTGCATAGTTGGGTCCAGTATAGATTTAATCTGACAGTGATTAAAATCACAATTATAAGAAACGCTTCGATGCAAATTTAAAAATTACTTTTTCGACTTTAAAAAAGCAAAAAAAATTAATAAGTTTAATTTCTTGTGTCTTATGAACTTTATTCTATGTCAATTAAATTATAAAATATTCATGAAAGTCAGTGTATTGCCCTTATAAGATATTTTAAAATAAAATAAAATACAAAACCCAGGATTTTAACACAAAAATAACATATTTTTGAATACAGTAGCCATTTGTGCATAGAAGATAGGTCGTCTAAACAAATTTTTTTTTTTAATTTTATAGTACATAAAATAAGATTTAATTTGATATATGTTTAAAGGACGCAGTATTTCCGGAACATTTTCAAAAATTAAGTTGAAAAAGTTAGTTTTTGTAAAAAAGTTGCTATTTTAAATCCCCCCTGTGAGCAGAATAAGTGTTATATTTTCAAAAAAAATTATATCAAATGAAAGGAAAAACCTAAGGTTTCAATACAAAAAAATATTATTTTGATTTGTTAATATTTGAAAAAGTTATGGCAATTTTAAGTACAAAAAACATCCCGATAAAAGATGATTTTTATCGCAAACATTACATTTTTTTTTAAATTTCGACAGCCATTTGCACATAGAAGATAAGGTGTCGGGACAAATTTTTTTTTTTCATTTTATAGTACATAACATAAGCTTTAATTTAACATATGTTTAAAGGACGCAGTATTTCCGGAACATTTTCAAAAATTAAGTTGAAAAAGTTAGTTTTTGTAAAAAAGTTGCTATTTTAAATCCCCCCTGTGAGCAGAATAAGTGTTAGATTTTCAAAAAAAAATGATATCAAATGAAAGAAAATTACCTAAGGTTTCAATATAAAGAAATATTATTTTGATTAGTTAATATTTGAAAAAGTTATGGCAGTTTTAAGTACAAAAAACATCGTTATAAAAGGTGATTTTTATCGCAAATATTACATTTTTTTTATAATTTCGACTGCCATTTGCACATAGAAGATAAGGTGTCGGGACAAATTTTTTTTTTTCATTTTATAGTACATAAAAAAAGCTTTAATTTGATATATGTTTAAAGGACGCAGTATTTCCGGAACATTTTCAAAAATTCAGTTGAAAAAGTTCTATTTTTTATACAATGTTTCAAGTTTCGAACGCCCATTATATAAGGGGAAATTGTTCAATTTTAATAAAAAGTATATCAAATGAAAGAAGTACTTATAATGTGTTTAGAAAAAAAAAATTTGTGCTGATACACACATTTTTCGAAAAGTTATAGCAGTTTTAAGTCGAAAATTTAAAATCGAAAATTTTAATACAAAAATAGCATTTTTTTAACTACGACGGCCGTTTACATGCAGAAGACAAAGTGTGGGGACAAATTTTTTTTTCATTTTATAGTACATAAAATAAACTTTAATTTATTATATGTTTAAAGGACACAGTATTTCCGGAACATTTTCAAAAACTAAGTTGAAATAGTTAGTTTTTGTAAAAAAAGTTGTTATTTTAAATCACCCCAATGAGCAGGATAAGTGTTAGATTTTCAAAAAAATGATATCAAATGAAAGGATAATATCTAAGGTTTTAGTATAAAAAAAAAATTATGTTGATTTATGGATTTTTGAAAAAGTTATGGGAGTTTTAAGAAAAAAAATGACAAAATTTACCGATTTTTAAATTTGTAATTTTTTTAGATATTTCCCCCATTTGCGGGGAACGAGGGAAAATCATTCAATTTTTAAGGGTAATGTCTTCAACTAGATACGATTTGTGATCTTTTGACGTATTTTTGAAAGAAATCGGTCCAGTGAGAGCTGAGAAAAAGTGGCAACAGACATAAAAAAAAAAAAAAAAACACATCATAGTAAAATTAATACTTTCTCAACTTTGTATCGAAGCTAAAAAATTGTGGTATTATGTTATATGCTATAATGTGTTACTATAAAATGAAATGTCATAATTAGATCATACTCCAATGAAGTAATTATACTCTAAATGTTGAGATCAAATAATACAGATGATTAGAATAACAAATCCTATAACATAATATTTAAAGTGTTGAAATGTTATTATATCCCTACAAAAAAATAAAATACAAATGTGTTCAGTGTCATATGAACAAAACAAAAGAAAATCTTTTTCATACATCAAGAAATGCTGGCGATGCGGTCTCGAGTGCTGAGTGTCAAAAAAAAACCCAGAACCAACGGATTTCAACGAAATATCCAGAATACTTATCTTTTACTCATTTTCGCAATTTTTGTTCAAAATAATGTCGTTTTTTTTTCAAAAAAAAAATGTTTTTTGATATCAGACGTATATAGCCTAATTTTGTAAAGTATTGTTATGCAATACGATTTTAAAAGAATAGTGAATCTAGATTTTAAGCAGCTACTTCAGGATGGTGCTAACGTCATCTCGGGTGTACTAGGTAACTAAAATACCTCCTTATTTGCCACTACGTTTTACACTCTATTCAGCACATAAAAGGTTGTCTAGAATTAAAGAGCGCAATAATATTTAAAAATCTTTTAACAATTACATTAAACAATCTAATATTAAGTTTTATGAATATATTTAGCTAAACATGAAAATAAATAAAACTTATTCTGGGTCAAAATATTATAAATTATCTAAAAATAATTTTTAACATTTAGGCCAATATAAAAAAAAAACTAAGTTTTAGGAACAAAATATTTACTCAGACTGACGCAAATGATTAATAAAATGTGAACAAAATCTTAATAAAGTACTCTCGTTTTGAGTAAATAAATCTTTTTATGTCATGGAAAAGTAATCCAGCGTCTGTGATAAAATACCTACGATGCTGTATAATAACGTTAATAACACGTTATTTAGACTTGTAAAAGGCTGGTTTAAAATATTTTTAATATAATGGTTATATTAAATTCCCTAATAGGGAACACTAATTAGATGATTTTTCCTTTATTCATATATATGCAATATTTAATACATGTATTAATAATTATTCTACATCATCAATTTTATGTTCTTCTTTTTCTTCTACTTTTTTTTCTTCTTTTTCTTCTTCTTCTTCTTCTTTATTAACATTTTTTTCACTTTCGTTAGCTTTAGGCGCGTTATCTCTTTTTAGGAGTTCTGAAAGCAAATCCGAACCACTATTAATCGAATTGAGACGTTTCAAATAACCAGTATTACTGGAACTTGGTTTTTCTCCAGTTGATGGAAAGAATGATACACCATCTTAAACATAAAATTTAAGCAATTAACATTATACTCAGTTTGTCAATGCTTATAAAAAGTTATAAAACTTTACTTGGTAAATTATTATTCAGAAAATTGTAATAGTTTTGATGTATATAAAAATGTATCGCTTTAACTGTAAAGTGACTTCAACATTTTTATCCAAAGTTAGTCTTAGTGAAGGTTTAGGGCCTGCACACGTAACTTTATAAAATCACCCAAAATTAAGTCATGAGTGTTAAATAAAATAAACTGATAATAAAATAATAATTGGTAGTGAAATGATACCAACTTATCGAAAGTTTACTCGAAATTAGAATAGCTAATTCAGTTTAGTTTGCAATTGAATAAGAGAAAATTAGAACCCAATTCCTTACTTATTTTTTTGCAATGTATTAGTCGAAATAACTATTTAGATAAATTTGAAGTTATATATCACGTCGAGGTCACCAATTTGTAGTGTTTTGGTGTTTATATTTATTACAAAATACTACAATTAAAATTTATAATAATTAATAATTTTTAATAATGAAAAATGATTTTATACAACATAAAAAAAGAGCACAAATAAAAAGTGTCACTGGATTGACGAACAGCGCGAGAATAAAAAAAATACACGGAGTGTTATCGTACTGCAGTACATCTAAGATAAAACATATAAACATATATAAACGCATTCATTGTGACATGTTATTTAACATCTTTGTTAATCCCTACAAACTCTATATCTTCTAGGAGTGTGATTTATGTATTTATTTTATTTGTGTTTATTTGAATCGGTCATTTGAGAAACAACGTAAGTTTTTTTTTTATTAGCTTTTATTATAAAAATATTATAGCTCAACAAATACATAAGAATTAGAGGATATAGTATTAATTAGCGTTGTGAATTACAGAAATAATAAGTGTTTATTAGTATAACAAAAGTAAAGTATGTAAAATAAATTATAATATATAATAAGGTAGTTAAATAGTGCAACCACTAAAAAAATAATGCAAAGCATCAGAATATGGAAGATGAAAGTAACATTAGGAATGATGATGCGCATTGATGATAGCTTAAGAATCAGCAAACTCGTTACCGCGGATCCTGACATGGCTAGGAACCCAATGGAATTAAATTTCTTTACCAAAGGTTAAAATTTTGTGAATCAATGCTCTAACTGAAAGGAATATAATAGGAGTTAGAGAATCAAAGGGTTAGAATTAATAGCCAAAAGACAAGCTTGCGAATCTGAGCAGATGAGAAAAGAAGTATCTAGAGAAACAGAAATTTAGAGTAGTGCATTGACAATAGTAATGCATTTAGTAGTAAAAGAGAAGAAAGGGGATGCAGGTTAGTGGAAAAGGAGATATTAAGACTTGATATGTGATAAGAATAGCCTGTTTTGGATAATGAGGCAGACCCATTAGTAAAAATTAAATGAGAGTTGGGAAAGTTTGTAGAAATATAGTGAGAGAATAAATTATTAATGGTCAAAGGAAGGGATTATTGGTTATAAGGTGAGAAGCCTAGGAAATTAGTTGGAACATGAACAGTAGGTGTTTAATTACCTTTGCGATGAAGGCGGTTATTTTCATCCAACCAACCAATAAAAATATAATATCTTTGATTTTGGTTAGACGGTGCTTTTATTAAAACAACTATAGTGTTTATAACAACTCAAAAAAATACGACAGTAAAAGTAACTATATTTAGTATATTTTTATTAAGATAAAATAAACTACTCATCATATTATTCCAATAATAGTACTATAGCGAGTCTAAAAAACAAAACATCTGTAAAATAACCAACTAAGGCAACAGTTGTCGAATAATAACGGAATAACAGCAATGAAAAACAATTTTTCATACATGCATTAGATTACACAGGTAATAGTTGCCGATAAAGCGATAAAGCGATAAACAGAAAAACACAAACACTTAAAATTAACTATTTACAATAATTAATGACAAACACACGAGAAGGGAAGGGAAGACTACACAATGAGAGACGCGAGAAAAATTTAACGATATCAAAGATTAAATTACATTTTGTACACTGATTCATGAACAGTAGGGGTGATGATTAAGGACTTGTAAGGGTAGTCATAAATGGGGAGACGACTATAGGACTTTTGGATATGATTAGTGAGACGAGAAAACCATCTTAACTTAGTGTCTAAGTAAGTCCTAGATAAGTAACAGTATTATAGGGGGGTATTGAATAACCATCTAAAATGACAATGGGGATAGATTGAGGTATGTATTTTCTGGTAAAGATGATAAGTTGACTCTTTTTAGGAGCCGGGGTAAAGTAAGAAGAAAGGAGATTTTTGTAGAGTATGGACAAGGAGTCGTTGAGAATAGCTACGGTGTGATCAAGTGATCTATCAGAAGAAAAAAGGACAATATCATCAGCATAAAAGAGGGAGGAGAAACCGTGAGAGGAGAGGTCATTACTGATAGTGCTCATATATATATATATATTGAAAAGAATGGGACTAAGACAACTCCCTTGTGGAAGCTCGCGAAAAAAAGAACGAGAAATAAAAACCCCAGAAGGGGAGGGGAAGTGTAGGAAGCTATGAGAAAATAGTGAGGAAATGTAATTACAAAGAGAAGGGGTCGTTCAATGGCGTTTAAACATTTTAAAAGAATAGGTATATGGACTGAGTCAAATGCGCCCTTGATATCCATAAATATTGCTGGAAAGAATTTTTTTTTGCAAAAGGAAACAACGTAAGTTAAGTATATAAATAATAAAAATATTCTTGATATATCATAATTTTATAAAATAATTTTATTTTTGAATACCGTAAAAGGAATATATCGTTTTATATTCTAATTCTCATAATTACATACTTACGTTGATCTACAATTTTTAAAATACGTCCATCACATGATGGACAATTAGAAGCTCCTATTTTTACTTGATCAGCACAATCTTTACAAACACAATGTCCACATTCTTGAAAAGTCATAACGGGATCGCCTATAGAGCAATAGGGACATTGTTCTCCTACAACATTTATATGAGTTACATATAAATAAATACGTTAAAAAGTATAAATACTTTCATATTAAATATAAATTAAAAAACAAATGCTCGGAAAATTAATTAAATGAGTTATAGATAAGAGATTATATAGTAAAATGATCTATAATTATAAGATAATAACAGTACTAATAATAAACATTTAGAAAGAATAAAACATTACTATGGCTTCTTAGTATTCATGTATATCTATTACTACTAAAAGCTATACATTTTTAACGTTTCTTAAACATTTTCATAATTTTTCGTGAAAAATATATTTTTAAAAATTCATTAAAATTTAAATTGATTTTTTTCACTATATGATTATTTATTTATAATATTTGAAAAGTTGAATTTGTATAAAATAATTTGTAATTTAAAAAAATAAAAAACGATGGAACTCAAACTTTGAACTGAAATCAGCATGTATTAATTATATTGTGAGATTTATTTCGAATTTCGTAATTTTTTTACACGTATTAGAATAAAAAGGGTTTTGAACATTGTAAGAAATAAAAAAATAGGATGCTATTGTGTATTAGGAAGAAATACCTCATTTGGAAAAAACTTAAATTACTGAAAATGTTTTTCCAAGCCTACAAAAAAATTCATATATATTTGAGGTTTATGTAGGATACACTAAGACAGAAAAACGTCACCCTTATTAGTCTTTATATTAAATATAAATTTTAAATAAAGTTCAATGTAAAAAATTACGCTATAAATAAAAATGATTTTCTTCTTCTTTTTTTTTAAAAAATCGTCAAACATAATCGTCTTAAAATCAAAAATTTCCTCCTATCAATCTCTCATTAGTAGTTTATAACAAAAAAGGCTTCGTTAAAAATATTTTTTAATGAAGAGGTATCGACGTTAATAACTCTTCTAAATCTATTATGTCTAGAATATTTTTATTGAAACCACATATTTTAATACCGTGTTAATGTATTATCCTATAGTCATGAAATAGTAATAATTAGAAATTAAATAAATTTTGTTTTATAAATTGATACTTATTATATAACAAAATATTATTAGTAATTTTAATTTTAAATAATATAAAAATTGTTGTTTTCTTATCATTTTATGTAGATTTACCTAGGTAGTCTTTATTATAAATTCATTTTTTAAAATGATACGGTATCACGCCCTATATTAAATGGACATTAATGTAGTCTTTCTCCATTTTTATCAGCCGTCTACTTATTAGTACGGTAGTTGATGACATATCCCTTGCTTGTGTAGTATAAAAGCTTTTATGCCTCGACTGTTAGTCGCCTTATTATTGTTATCTTAGTTTCAGGAGATCTTCCTCTACGGATATATTCTCGACAACATAGTGTACCCGTCCTTACCTTAAGCGCCCAAGTCCGAAACCCAAATATACGATTATTACTCTGTTACACGATTCAGCTTTCTGTTAATTATATTAGTACTACTATTTAAAAATATTGTTAATATTACTGTAAAATTAAAAAATGTTAAAAATGTTTAACTCAAAAAGCCACAAAAAATACTAAAATAATATTAATTTTTTTATATAGCGTACACATATTTTGGGAACAATAGTAACACCATCATCACACTATATTATTAGTATTGTTTTTTTTTTTTTTTGTAAATGCCTTATTATGATAGTTAGTTCAAAAAAATTCTTTTTGGGAAAGTTACTAACAAAAATAAATCTTATTAATTTTAACATTCCAAAAAAATCTACTTTAGGCGTGTTATGGTGAATATCTTTAACCTTTAAAGTTCTCAATGTCTAAAATTATGTCCAAGGAATTTTTTTTGTGAACTTTCACAATTTTTGATATAATTATACATAATTTATGAGACCAAATTACTAAATTCGTTAATTTATCCGAAAATCTTTTTAAAAAAATTTTATAAAACATTTAGTATTTATGTAAAATAAATTAAAAAACTAATTTGTTTTACATAATTATTGTTTTGTTATCTTGTACTTTCGAATCAAGTTTCGATAAATATAAAGTTTCAATTCAATTTTACTTACTCTTTTTTTTCTTTTCAGTTTTTTTATCAACTTGACTGATGACCTCTAATTGAGGTATAGGAAGCTTTTCTGAAATAAAATACAAAGAAAATTATATAACATTATGTTAACCTTTTTTGTTCATGATAAACAATAATAAATACATTTTATGTATAAAAAAAAATCGAAGATAAATTAATTTTTCGTTTTATAATTTATATAATTGTAATTTATTTCTATGACACAAAATATTAATTAATATATTTGGGATTTTCGTTAAAATTAAAATGCATGTATCATACATTTATGTATGAAAACAAAAATGTTAGCTATATTTTTTACCTTTTATCTAACTTTTTTAAAAATATATATTACCATTTATAACTTTATTTCAATTAAATTAAATTTTATTATATTAGTAAAATTACCAATTCTTCTAAATTTTTCAATGTTTGTTTGACATTTTATACAATTTTCTGTTTGATTTTTGCCGAATTCTTTTAAACATTCATTACAGATATTATGCCTACAAGTTTCCAATCTAATCGATGGCTCTCTTTCAGAACAACTTACACACTTGTTACTTAAAAAATTATTAAGCAAGCAATCTGAAAAAATCAATTAGTTCATTTTTTAATTATTTTCATAATTCCATATCATTAAATAAAAAGTTCCATGTCAACATTTCATGATTACAAAAGAAAGCATTTTTAATGTTTATATGCTTGTATCTTATTGTAATTGTACTTCAGTGACAATTTTTTAGTGAAATATTCAAATTATATAATGGATGTATAATATTAATGATATAGTCATCAATGCATGAATGAATATGTGAAAAATAAAAGAGTTCAGAATTTTACTTATAGAGCTATAAAGTACACACAGGGTTTTTGGTTTATCATAAACTACTAGATTATTCGCAAAATAAATACAATAAAATTTTTAATTATATATATTTCTCGACTTATCAGCTATTAATTAATATTTAGTATCATTCATCATTGCAATATGTATTATAACTTATAGGGGTATCAAATAATTTTTTTTAAATGATAACATATATTTATAACTAGTTTATAAAATAAGAAATTATCTAATTATAAAACTTTAAACGTAGCAATCATCATACATAAAATGGAGCATTTTGTTTGTAAAATTCTAAATTAATCAATCATTCAAAATTTACAGAATTTACAACAAATTCGGTGACATATAGACTAGTAAGAAGTAAAATAAGGACGTTCCAATTTTACCTCTAACTAGAGTACCCCACTTCATCATAAAGAACATACATGCTTTTAATCATTGTCGAATAAAAAAGGTATTTAAATAGTATTTATCATAAAAATTTAAATAATTTTTAGGAGTTTTAGATAAGAGTGGCTGACCCCAAGTAGTTGGGATTAAGGCGAGGAAGAAGAAAACATAAGCTTTAATTTAAGATATATATATAAGTGTCAGTATTTCCGGAACACTTCCAAAAATTAAGTTGAAAAAGTTTTACTTTCTATTTACATTTTTATGTTTTGAACCCCCCTGCATAAAGGGAAAAGGTCCGATTTAAAAAAAAACTTTGTCAAATAAAAGAGGTATATAAATATTATTTCTCATAAAAAAATTATATTGATCCATACATTTTTCAAATAGTTGTAGCATAATAAAATTAAAAATGTAAAATACAAAATCGAAAATTTTCACACAAAAATAGAATTCGGTAGCCAGTTTCACCGTCAACACAAAATAAAGTTCCGAAATTTTTTTTTTCCATGATAAAGTATATTACATTAGCTTTAATTTAAGATATATAAAAAAGTGTCAGTATTTCCGGAACACTTTCAAAAATTAAGTTGAAAAAGTTAATTTTTTGTGAAAAAGTTGTCATTTTAAAACACCTGTGGGCAGGTCTAGGATCAAACTTTTAAAGAAAATATATCAAATAATATGTAAAGACATTAAGCATCTATAAAAAAAAATAATATTGATTTGTTCATTTTTGAAAAAGTTATGGCAATTTTAAGTAAAAAAATTGAAAAAATTTCGAAAATTAGCGATTTTTAAATTTGTAATTTTTTTGGAGGTTTTCCCCATTTACGGGAAACGAGGGAAATTTTTTCAAATTTTGAGGGTAATGTCTTTGACTTGATACGATTTGGAATCTTTTGACGTATCGTTGAAAAAAATCGGTTTTGTGATAGCTGAGAAAAAGTTGTAATAGACAAAAAATAAAAAAAAAAAACACATCATACTAAAATTAATACCTTCTCAGCTTTGAAGCTAAAAATTATTTTAATAATCAGATGATAACGCGGAATTTAGCTAATTACCATTAATTAATGATAATTTAATTGACATTTGATTAAAAAATTTGGATCATATAATATAATACAAACAAGGATACTTAAGATTTTATTTTTATAATCAGAAAAATAATTTAAGTCAAATATGTTGAGATTGCCTACATTCCCTTAGATTATTGAAAAACTACCTCATCAACATTTTTTTTCTGCATTTTAAATTCCATTAACTTTTTATAAAAACACTGATTCTAATGAAATTTATATCTGGTATACTAGAGACAACAATTTTTTTAATGTGCTTTTCATGAAAAACTAATAAAAATCTTAAGGATTTGGATGAATTTTTGAAAATGCTTCGCAACGCCTGACAACTTTAACTTATATAAAATTAAAGCCATTGAAGTATACTAATATGTTAATAAAAAATTGTCCAAATATTTGTTCTATCAGAAATTGGTCGTCAAGTTAAAAAAATTGACTCTATTTAAAAAATAAATAAATTTATTTTATAATTGAAGAAAAATAAAAATATGTTCAAAAGTTATAAACGTTGTTAGCTAAATTTGAGACAGGAAGTATAAACTGGGACGAAGTGTGGGTTATGTTTTTTTAATCATTACGCATATTTCTGTCGTGCTACTCCTCCCGCTCATGTATTAAAATAGTTACCTGAACTTTTAAAGGACAGTAAGGCAATGACTTCGAATTATAATAATATTAGTGAGATATATTATTAATATTAAAGTACGCATTATGATTACAATATTATTCAAAGCGTTAAATATAGAATTGGTAAAGATTTCTGATTATTGTAGTTAAATTTCTAAAGTTAGTGAAAAGTATAATTTTTACATTTATTTTTACATTATTTTGTCACATCAAACGACGGTATTTATTTTTAAGAAAAATATAGAAGAGAATGCAACTTGATCACGTTAAATATGTGTTTTATATACTATAATCAATCATATAAGTAAATAATAAAATAAATGCTCTAAAAGCACAATATTTTAATTGCTTCTTTTGTCTTTACAATGTATATTCCGGGGTTAACACAATTGTTTACTCTTTTCTGCGTTTCCTCTTTATTATTTTATGTGAAAACTACTCAAATTTTCTTATTTATTATATTGATTAATAAAAATCTACTCTTTTTTTTTTAACTTGTCTTTACCATAATTATTTTCCATTGGCCACCCGTATCGTAAATCTCTTATTGATGTGATATACCATATCGTCTATACACACACTAGCAGTTCTCATATCATCCTCAATTATATTAAACTTCAGTCTATTTTCTTTCATTTTATCCACGATCACTTAGCCATCATCATCCATCTATGCATTCTCAACTCTGCTACATTCAATTTATGCTCTATCAATCGCTCAACACTCCTATACACAGATATACAACAGTTGGTCTCACTTCAGTCTTATAGAACTTGCCTATTATTGTCTTATTAGGATTGTCTTATCGCTTTTCTCAACTTGATAGCACTCAAACCTCTATATTCCTTCCTAAAGAACGATTTATTGAGATATAATAAATGTGTTGAATTTAAAATTATACAAACTAGAGTAATCATCTCTTAAGTCAAAAATCATGTAATTTTTGATAAACATGATTTTTTTTTTCATTCGTTTCAAAAAAGTATTTGAGCGTTTTACAACAGTTATTTTTATCACTTATATACAGATAAATATTTATCTAAAAAGTGCCTCCACTCCACTACGTTGAATCATAACTGATCATAACAGTTTTATTTAATTATAAAATGTATTTAATGTGTGTAATTTATGAAGCCTAAATAATTTTATTAATAGATATCATTTAATACGATTAAATCAAAAATAAAAAGTTCATTATTATTACATACCTTGAAATATAGAGTCCATCATTGGCATATTCATCTTTGGTAAATTCAACATTGGGTTTTCTGAAATATACAATTTATATTATTACATATTAATTATATAATTTTTTATTTTCATTTAAGATGATAATTCGTTTTTATTAAAATGGTTAAGTAATCGCGTAAATATTTATTATTTTATTTTATCATTAAGTAAAATTATTATTTTATTAAGATTTTTGTAAACCGAAAATGTGTTGTTATTAAAATACATTATAAGACGTTAATATATTTTAATTGTTACAAATCACGATTATTACATATACCGACCAAAAATATCATCATCTGGTGATTTCATCAAATCTTCGAAGAAGTCTAAATAAAACAATAATATTGAAATTAGTTGTATTTAAATATCAATATTAACACTAACATGATATTTTGTTCTTAAAACACTATCGAGATTTCTAAAACTCATGAAGTGTATTAACCAATTTCTCACTTTTTAAGAGAGCAAAATTGAATTTATATTTTCCATTAAAACTCATAAAAAATTGTATTTGTTACCTTCCAATACCTTTAATGGTATACCATTTTTATATTAAAAAATATTTTATATGATGATTAAAATTTGCAAATAATAGAAAGTTTAGTTGATACGTTTCTTTAATTCCAGTCTCTCGTTATATGATTTAAGATTATTTTTCTTATGCATGATTTCATATTGATAATTATATTTTACTAACCGTCAGATGAGGTATCATTATCAGGAGCATTTAATAATAAATCATCTTCTGAAACAGTTATTTATTTTTGGTAAAATAGTTACAATTAAATATAAAAATTATTCTAAGTGATATAAAAAACCCTAATTAAAGTCAATATGATTCTTATCACTATTTTAAAAGCATACCATCAATGTCACTAATGCTAGGACTGCCATTTACTAAAGAATCAAAAATATTAATTAAATTAATGCTTTGTTGTTAATTTTTTAAAAAAAAATTAGTACAATATATAATACCTATATTATTAACCAAAATGAAAGTTAGAACGATAATCGATGAAGTGTTCATGTTCTAAAAATTATTTGAGTAAGTTAATTAGGCAATTAGTTAAAATATTAATTAATAACTTACATTAAAAAATAATTCCTTTAGTATAATCACTGCAAATTTAACAATAAAAAAAAAACAAATTTTAATTGTATTTATATATTTTAAATAATTTTTTCGTTATAGCTTTTAACATTTATAATAATAATTAATGTCATTTTCTTTTAAAGCAAATACATATAGTGTAAATAATGAAATGAACAAATAATTTTATCATAAAAAAAAACTATTAAAACAATATATTTATACGAAATTCAATTTATTGCCTTAAAAATTCATCATTTATTTTTCAAAAATAGATAATAAAGTGTTCTTAATGAAGTAAAGAGTAATAAAAAAATGCAATTTATAAGTCAAATAAATCAAAATGTATTAAAAAAAAATATAGGTTATTGAAAAATACATTTGCAAAAACGGTTAATAAAATTTTAAATCAAAATTAACATTTCTAAGAAGTTCATAATACAGAAAATTAAATAATAAAATAACATTAATTAACAAAATAGTATTTTTTTAATAATCTCAGAAAAAAATACACTTTTCTAATAAAATTATTGGAGCTGTTTCAAATGATAATTGGTTTTTTTCTATATCCTCTAAGTATTAAGATAATTAGTAAATTGAGTAAATATACATAAAAAAAGACCTTTTAAGACCCAAGGTTATTAATTATTTTGATTTTTAATTTGTCAATAATAATGGGAAAATTCGATTTTTAATGTCAAATTTGACCTAATTTTTTGTTTTTAAAAGCTGATTTTTATGAAAATTTGTAAAAAAAAAAATTTTATTGTAATTTTTTAATATTAATGCGAAGCTGAAAAGGTATTAATTGATTATGATGCGTTTTTTTTTGTGTCTTTTACCACTTTTTCTCAGCTCTCACCGAACCGATTTCTTACAATGATACGTCAAAAGATCACAAATCGTATCTAGTCAAAGATATTACCCTCAAAAATTGAAAAAAATTCCCTCGTTCCACGTAAATGGGAGAAATCTCCAAAAAAAAATTTTTTAATTCTTTTTTATATAGATGCATGATATTATTACCTTTCATTTGGTATATTTTTTTTATATCTGCCCACAGGAAGGGATTTAAAATGACAACTTTTTCACAAAAAATTAATTTTTTCAACTTCACTTTTGAAATGTTCAGGGAAGTCTGACACTTTTATATATATCTTAAATTAAAGATAATGTAATATACTTTATCATGACAAAAAAAATTTCGGACTTTATTTTATCTTCACGGTGAAAATGGCTACCAAATGCTATTTTTGTGTGAAAATTCTCGATTTTATTTTTTACATTTTTATCTTTATAATGCCATAACTTATTGAAAAGTGTATAGATCAACATAATTTTTTTATAAGAATTAATATTTATATCCCTTTTTAATTTGACATACTTTATCTTAATCAGGATATAAATAAGGAAATAGCAGATCATGTAGACCATATCCCTTAATACAGGGGGGCTTTAAAACATAAAAATGATTAGTGAAAGTAGAAACTTTTCAACTTAATTTTTGAAAGTGTTCCGGAAATACTGATACTTTTATATATATCTTAAATTAAAGCTAATGTAATATACTTTATCATGGAAAAAAAAATTTCGGACTTTATTTTATCTTCACGGTGAAAATGGCTACCAAATGCTATTATTGTGTGAAAATTCTCGATTTTATTTTTTACATTTTTAACATTATAATGCTATAACTAATTGAAAAGTGTATGGATCAACATATTTTTTTTTTGAGAAATATTATTTTTTAATATTCCCTTTTTCATTCGACATACTTTATCTTAATCAGGATATTAATAAGGAACTAGCAGATCATGTAACTTTTAGAATAATACACCAATTTTTTAAAATTAAACACTTTCTAAAGATTTGCATTAGAGTTTTTTTTTTTTTGATAGTGATTGTAATCACTTTTAGATATCATTATACTTGATCCAACTATGCCACGTCACCACTGTGCTGGGTTTTTTATAGATACGTTTGGTATTTACCTATTATTTAGTATTTATATTTTTTTGATAATCTGACCCTTTACCTGACCACAGGGTTGGATTCAAAATGACAACTTTTTCACATAAAAATTGCTTTTACAATTTAACTTATGAAAGTGTTAAGGAAATACTGACACTTTTATATATATATATATCTAAATTAAACATTTTGTCTTATGCTTAAACATTAGAATAAAAATATAAGCTAGTTCAAATTGCCATTTTTATTCACCAAACAAATGAGACCCTCGGTTGACGTGTTGATAATACCTATGTATTTTACGCTAGAAATACGAAGTTAGGACCCCAAATTTTGCAATTTTTTTGCATTAAATGAGATTTTTAACTAATTTAGTATCAGAATTTCAATGAATATCAAGGACCCTATCACTGTAATCCCACCTCGTAAGAAGAAATTTCTTGTTTATATTAAAATTGGTATTGACCAACCTAACGCTAGTAAAAAAACAAAAATATTAAAATTATTTTACTACGTGATTTGTTTTTATGGCTGTCATGTATTTACTCCGCTCTCTTTTGACCTATTCTTTTCAACATCAAGTGATTATAATTCGTATCTAGTTAAAGCGATTACCAAAAATTTAATCAAAATTTTAAAAATTTCCGCTTTATCAAATCAAAATTTTCTTAGCCCACATTTTCCATACAGTCAATTAAAATCTTTCATTTATTATGTTTTTTAAAGTATTTATTGTATTACAATACATATTTTTTTATATGTGAATACTCATATTTTACTGATTAGAAATAAGATAAAAAATTAGTAATCATAGAAAAAGTCTAATTGCAGATTTGAAAACAATGCAAAAAGTTGATTTAGACAATTTTTTAATAATAAGTTTGATTCTGATGAAAGTTCCTTGTACATTAATAACAAAATAATTATTTTGAAAATCATTGCATCAAGCCCTTTAAATTTTTATACGCGTGCTTTGTAGAATTAACAAAATGTACAACTAATCAGGATATAATTAAGGAAATTTAGAATTCATATTGTTACTTCTTAATTGTTATAGTGTTGATATTGCTATTGTAATTATCAAACAATTTCTTAGAATTCAACACTTGATTAGACTATAATAGGTAGTATTATTTTCTTAAATTTACGCTTAATTTAATAACTGTAATAAATATTTTTCATGTATTATACTTATAAGTCATAAAAATTTTAATCAGAAAATAAATTAAAAATTATAAATTGATATTGAAATGAATCAATTATTTCTTCTTAGAGTTATACAAAATGTTTTGCATCATATTTGCACCAAAGCATATCTATGATAGTAATTTTAATCACTGTCAGATATCATTTATAATTGTCTGGACTATGCTACGTACATTCTGTGATGCGACCCCACTGTGCTACCGTTTTTTTTTTTATTGAACATGAAAATTTAAAACTAACATCATTGAATAGGACATTTTACAAGCAGTTTATGTGACGTTAAAAATGGTTTTGTTTAGATTTATATGTAGCCACGAACTTATGTAATTACAGTAAATTGTTGCAGAAAAATCAATGTTCTGTTAGTTATAATTATTTATTTATATGTTAATTAATTATTTTAATATTAATATTGGTTATCAGTTCTATGGAAATCTTGGTGAATGAAAAATTATACAATTTAAAACTGAAGAACTTTATTAATTTTTTTAATTATTTAAAAACAAAAGAAAAAAACCTAGGTTAAAATTAAATCCAATAACACAAGAGGATAAAATAAAAAAAAATCCTTCAATATTAACAACTTTTTATTATGATCATTGGAAAATTCAAATATTTATTTAAATTTAATCATTTTTATGTTTGATTATTGGGTCATTTAGAAATAATTAATATATTTTAATGTATAAAAAGTCATAAAATTATGCTTAATAATAATTATAATATAACATAATATGCGATTTTTATTAAATGAAGTATATCATTTTATATAAAGTTATACGTATTGTGTATTGACTTTTAAGTTGGATATACGTTTAATGCATTAAAGTTATCTGTTTTAAAATTTTATCTTTTTAATAAAAACATGTAGTTCTAAAAATATTGTATAAAAATTACATTAATTCAGTATACTTTCGTGTTGTACTAATTAGTAATACTATTAAATCTAGAAACGAAAAAAAAACAAATTTCAGATTAAAAATCAGCAAATTGTTTAGAGATGCATATTCTTGTCTCTGATAAAAATTCCATATTGAATGAGTGTAATTACTAAAAATAATAATAAACAAAGTATTTTTTTCTGAGGTTTTTGAAAATCCAATAATAATGTTGGAATTTATAAGTAATATAATTAGTATTGTTAGAGTTCACATTTTTAATAGAAGTTATTTAGATTATATTTGTACTAGGTGATATTTAAAGAATTATTTTTGTATGACATAATAATGGTTTTTTAACATAAAAATATTCTAGCTAAATTTTTTTTTAAAAATACAATAGATATCATTTTCCTATTATTAACTTAAAATTTAACTTGGGTTAAAAATTTCCCATATTAAATTAAATTATATTATAAGAAAATTTTTATAGTTTTAAAATTAATTACTAAAAACATTATATTAAAACACTTTAATGTATACTTATTAAACATTTAATTTTAACGTATGGTAAAATAAAAAAATATGTGTAATATATAAATACTTCCCATGTCATTAGATATATTTAACTGAATTCAAGAAATTCTCCAAAATTAAATAAGTACCAAGACAAATGATTAATTTGAAATATACCATATGCCAGTTTCAATATTTAAACACAATTTTCGAATAAAAAAATTATTCATCTATTTATATAATTATCAAAAAAACATAAATATCTTTTATACAGACAAAATATTTTATACATTTTTTGTGAAATGTTACAATAATTCATGAAGAATAGATTTTATAAAATTTTGAAATCCTATAAACATCATAGGACTGAAACAACGTTTTGGTCAAATACTTTGACTTTTAAATATTTAACTAAGCTTTTTAGATGATTTAGCAAAAAGTGAGGAAGTTTTCATTTTACAATAAGTTCGAATAAAATAAA